TTCTTCTTCTTCTTCTTCTTCTTCTTCTTCTTCTCCCCCCCGTTCTCCCTTACACATTCTCATCATTATAACAACCATCACCACAACTGTCGTCAGCTCAACCTTTCCCGATTATTTATAGATTCGCGCCGTCGTGACCGAAGAGCTGTATGCGGCTTATGAGCGGCGCCTCCTCAATCTTACCCTCTCAAACATGCCCGACATGGTCCTCTGCCCAAACCGTGACTGCAATAATCAGCATGTCATGCTGAATGAAAACAGGGATCAGGGCGTCTGTCCCTCTTGTCGTTTCCATTTCTGCGCGCGATGCATGGCCGCTTTTCATGACAAGTCACCGTGTAAAACAGGACCTCTTAGGGGCCTATCACCTGATCAAGGTTGGTCCCGCTATCTACTTTTCGTATATACCTATACATTCCGATGTCGAGTTTATTGCGTGGATTTCCCAGACTAGTCCCCCAGGTCTTTGTGCGACGCAGATTAAAGGAAAAAAAGCAAAAAAGCAGTTAACATTGAGAGTGCATGGGAAAATCGATGATGACGTGGCGTTTGCGCCAATAGGCTGTTGCTGTGTGTCGCATGTCGTTCGAATTTGCTCGCATCTAGTCCATTTCTGCTTGAGTCTTTTGTACGAAGAACCCGATTCGATGTGTCTGTTGATGTATAGCGTGTCCTGGTTCATTACCTCGAGGAATGCGCGGCCTTTCTTGCAAAGAAAGACAGCGGAAATAGGTGTTTTGTACCGCGCGTAGGAGAGCCCGGTGTCCAGAGCATAAATGGCGAGTTGGGACCGGTGGTCTCGTCTTCTTACTGCTAATTGGTGTTCATGAATGCGCTTAAAGGCGGATTTTCCAGTCTAACCAAAATAAACGGTATCGTGCGATTCCCATAGGATTTTGTAGGCAACATGTTTCTTGTCTTAATCCTTTGGGTGTACCAGTTGGGTGTGATAAATCATTGTTAGTTTATCAGTCAGCCGGATTTGGTGTTCCTTAGGTGTTTGCCAGTGACTTTATACACGTTTTTGATGTGAGGAAGTCTTCACCAACTACCGTTACTGCCGTAGTCCTTTTTATCTAACTGTTGTTGTCTCACGCACTTATGTGTAAATTCTTAAGGATAACCGTTTTGAGATAATCAGTGTAACAAGTAAATCAGTTCGCTCTGATAACTTTCTGTTTGTTTAGCACTTTTACTTTACTCTGCGTCTGATGACGAGTTGGGGAACCAGCCTCGAAACAGACGCAATAAAATGTATTTCCAAAGAACGTATTCGACTTCAAATATACATATATATA